TTATCAATGATTTTGATTTAGACTTCAAATCGAATAACAACAACTGAATATTACTAATATTTCGAATCAGGTTTGCTCGTTGCTCAGACGCTATGTATCGTACCTATACGTTGGCGACTTATATCGAAAATTAATATAAATAAATAATAAAGTATTTCTTTCGATTGATTTTGTTCTTATAATTGCATATATGGATAAAATATATAATGATTTAAATATACGCTTCTTGTATTATTGCCTGGGAAATAGCGTAAATGAAAATAGCTTTTTTATCATAAACATATTCTTATTGTTTTATGGCAATCTTAGAATTAATCTAGAAGAAAAAAAATGACTATGTAAATTGTTCACTGTTTTATTTGTTTAAGAATTAGTTAATAGGTAATTCTAAGTGAAATAAGTTATTTCTACTGATTGATTGTTATCAGACCATCGATTAATATCTGAAATCCAAGAAAAAAAAAGTAAAACAGGATTGCGTATTAATGAGAAATAATCTAAAAAACAAAGAAACAAATTTTATATATGTGTTTGTGTCTGAAGATGGATCGTAACGCACTAACAATGGAGTTGTTTGTGTTGTAAGTGAAAAAGACTAGATATTTTTACATCAAAAGAAAGTTCTCACCTCCAAATTAACAAGGTTAAAACATTAGCTCCCCTTGGCTTGTCTAGAGGCAGATATTCAAGCTTTCAGTAAATTTTCTGTACAGGACCAGCTTTCCCAGCAATATCATATTTTCGAATTTGGACCTGAAACTTTGTATACATGAAGGTCTCAATGAGACTAGCTTATAGAAACAAAATCAGAAGTTTTGGACAAACCCTTTTCGAGATATGAATCTCTCAAAATATTGACGATTTTCTATAGAAGCTGTATGCTTGAAACATCTATATCTCGAAGATGGTTTATCCAAAACTTCTGATTTTTTTTCTGTAAGCTAGTCTCATTGAGAGTTTCATGCATGCAAAGTTCCAGGTCCAAATTCGAAAATATGAT